CAACACATATGGAAAACAAAACCATGGCCTACAGATTGGAATCATTCAGAATACATCCCAATTTTCAAGGAGATGCCAAGGAGTATAATAACTGTAGGATCACTGCTCTAATTTCTGATGCAAGTAAAGTGATGGTCAAGGTGATTCAACAAAGGCTTCTACCTTACATGGAGGAAGAAATGCTGGATGTTCAAGCTGGATTCAGAAAAGAGGCACCCAAGGCCTAATTGTGAGCATTCGCTGGATACTGGAATGCTTCAAAGAATTTCGGAATGTCAGTCTATGTTTTATAGACTATAGTAAAGACTTGACTGTGTAGATCATGAAAAGCTATGGGTTGCTCTAAAAGGAATGGGTTGGGCGACAGCACTTGACTGTCCTAATGTGTGGAAGCCACTATCAGGACAGAATATGGAGAGACTGAATGGTTTCCTATAGGCAAAGGTGTCATACAAAAGTGCATTTTATCTCTCTATATTTTAGATTTGTACACAGAACATATTCAAAAAAGTAGGCTACACTCAGAGGAAGGAGGAGTGAAAACTGGTGAAAGAAATACCAATAACTTAAGATATGCAGATGACACCATCTTACTGACAGAAAGTAGTACGGATTTGAAAGAACCGATGAAAGTGAAAGAAATGCCAAAGCACTATATTTGAACATCAAAAAGACAAAAACCATAACTGCAGAAGAGATACACAACTTTAACATAAGCAATGAAGGCACTGAAATTGTTAAAGCTTTTGCTGACCTTGGTTCAGTCGTCAATTCAAATGGAGACTGCGGCCAAGAAATTAAGAGAAGGCAGAGACTCAGAAGGGCAGCAATGGAAGAATTAGGAAAGATCACCAAGAGCAAAGATGAGTCATTGGGGACCAAAGCTACATTGTGGACATCACTCATTCATAGGGTCGCCAGGAATTGAAGCTGACTCAATGGTACATAAGACACATGACGGCCAAAAAGGTGAAAGTAGTTTTTTGTTACTCATAACAAGCTCCTTGCAACCGCACCTGAGTTTATATTAATGAGGTAACTTTCTGAAAGACCCTATAAATGGGGCCGGTTATCAGAAGAACTAACCACATTAGAGAGTCGGAACTTTCAGCCCCACCTCAGACCTCCAGGAAAGGGAGAGGGGTTGGATAGAAACTGAATTAATCACCAGTGGCCAATGATATAATTGATCATGTCCATGTAACGAAGCCTCCATAAATACTAAAAAGGATGGGGTTCAGAGAGCTTCTGGACTGGTGAATAGATGGAGGTGCTGGGAGAGTGGCAGGCCTGGAGAGAGCATGGAGGCCTTGTGCCCTTTCCCATATAACTTGCCCTATGCATCTGTTCATCTGACTGTTCATTTTTATCCTTTAAAACAATAGCAATAGTAATTCAAATGTTTTCCTGGATTCTCTGAGTGGCTCTAGCAAATGATCAAACTTGAGAAGACGACAGTAGAAACCTCCAGTGTGTAGCCAAGCGGGTCAGAAGTTGTGGGTAACCTGAAGACCTATTACTTGCAAATGGCAGCTGAAGTACAGGCAGTCTTGTGCGACTGAGCCCTTAACCTGTAGGAATCTATGCTAACTCTGGCTAGTGTCTGAATTGAATTGTAGACTATCTAGCTGCTATCAGAGAATTGGTCAGTGTGGGAAAAAAACTTCTGGTGTCAGAAGTGTTGTGAGCATGAGAGAAAAGGGAAACACTGAATTTTTTTTCTAGACACTTCCTATAGGTAAGAGTCTTCAACTTAACAATTTTATGAATTAGACTGTATCATATCTTTAAAATTTTATAATAAACACTTATTTAGCTATCCTAACAAGACTATACTTCTGTTGCTTTCTATCTTTAATGTTAGCAGCAATGATTCACATTTATAGAGAACATTTCTTTAAAAACTCAATCACTTTAAACACATACAAAAAGATGCTGGGAAAGGACATGAGAAATAAGTTTTAAAGTTTAGATTAATTTGGTTTTGGAAGAAGGCTTTCAGGATAATATTTTATACTTGATAAAGACAAAAAAAAAAAAGCCAAGAAACAAAAAGATGTCTGTGGACTTCCTCTTTTATCAAGAACAAAATTGTATACAAAAAATTTTATTTAAATAACTCATATAGTATACTTGTCTATTATCACAAATTCACCCTTTATATTGCTGTGTGAAATTAAAATCAATGTAACATTTTATTCTTCTTTACCAAAAGAGTCCAATCTAGACTCAGGCAATCTCAGTCATCAGCTTTACCAGTGAGTGATCTCAGGGAGATCCCTACTCTGCACGGCACTCCTTTTCTTCATCTTCCATTTAAAATTCCCTGTGATGGTTTTTACTATTTAGAACTTACTCCATTATCTAATGATTTTTGTTTAGAATATTAAAATACCAGCTAGCCGAAGTACAAGGGGTAATGCAATTCTAGCACTTCACAAATACAAAAAGTATTTGGCCTGTTTCTGTTCTCTTAAGCAGTAGAACTTGGCAGCAGATTAAACAAAAGAATGGTTCCAACTTAAGCTATCTCATTTAATTTCTTCTAAACTAACTTCCTTCCTTCCTTCCTTCCTCCCTCCCTCCCTCCCTCCTTCCCTCCCTCCCTTCTTCTTTCCTTTCTTTCTTTCTTTCTTTTTCTCTTTCTTTTTCTCTTTCTTTTTCTCTTTCTTTTTCTCTTTCTTTCTTTCTTTTCTTTCTCTTTCTTTTCTTTCTTTCTTCTTTCTTTCTTTCTCTCTCTCTCTTTTTTTTTTTTCAATGCCATTTAC